TTAAAAAAATAAATGAAAGATACTTCTTTTATTATGGAAAAATATATTACATGAAATTTATTACTGTATATTTGTGTACATGTGTGTATGTGTACATGTATGTATGTGTAGAAGCCAGAGATCAACACTGGGTCGCTCTCCACCTTCTTTTTTTTTTTTTTGGTCTATTTGGAGACAGGGTCTCCTTGTAGCCCCAGCTGGCCTGGAACTCACTATGTAGACCACACTGATCTTGAACTCACAGAAATCCATCTGGTTCTGCCTCCTGAGAGCTGGGATTAAAGGCATGTTCCACCATGTCCAGCACTCCACCTAGTTTTTGAAGATTTTTTAAAAATTTCTTTTAATGTGTATTTCTTTTTTGCCTACATGTAAGTGCACCACATGGGTGCAATGCCCACAGAGGCCAGAAGAGGGCATTGGATCCCCTGGAACTGGAGTTACCAACTATTTTTAGCTGTCATGTGAGTGCTAGGAGCTGAGCCTGGGTCTTCTGCAAGAGCAGCCAGTGCTGTTAACTGCTGAGCCATCTGTCCAACACTTTTTCTAAAGATTTTATTTTTTAGTTTTATTAAAAATTGTGTGTGTGTGTGTGTGTGCACGCGCGCGCGTGCGCACTTGAGTACAGATGCCCTCAGAGGCCGTCTGGATCCCCTTTGAGCTGGAGTTACAGGTGGTTGTGAGCTGCCTGATGTGGGTTCTGGGAACAGAACTCTGGTCCTTTTCAAATGGTTAAGTGCTAGTGCTCTTAACCACCGAACCATCTCCCCTGTCCTTCTCACACAGAACTTGGAACTCACCAATTAATCTAGACTGGCTGGCCACTGAGCTCCAGGGATCCTCCTGTCTCTGCCTCACCAGGACTGGGATTGCAGGCACATTCTGCAGTGCCCAGCCTTTTATGTGGGTTCTAGGAATGGAACTCAAGTCCACATGCTTATGCAACAAGCACTTTGCTGACAGAGCCATCTCCCCAGCCTGAAATGGATCATTTTAACCATTTAAGTGTCCAGTTCAGTAGCACTGAGGTACCCATTCCTCTTACCATGTGGGTCATGGGGATCAAACTCAGGCAGGATCAGGAATTCAAGGTCATCTTCAGTTATTCAGCAAGTCCAAGACCAGACTTGGCTACTGAAGACCCTGTCTCAAAAACAATGGGTTGGAGGCTGGGGAAATAGCTGTCAGTAAAGTGCTGCCTAGCCTCAGAACCTGCATAGAAAAGCTGGGCATGGTGGTCTGTGTTTGTAATCCTAGTGGAGACAGGAAGATTCCTGGGCAAACCTTGTAGGTTATGCTAGCTGGCCAGTGAGACTCTGCCTCACAAAAAGGTCGGTAGTGTCTGAGGGATGACATCTGAGGTTGCCTCTGCCCTTCACATGTGCACACATACACACATAACCTCTTGGTTATGATTTTATTCTCATTATTTGTTTTTAAGATTTTTTTATGTGTATGAGTGCTTTGCCCGCATGTATGTAACTGCACCACATGTGTACAATGTCCATGGAGGTCAGAAAAGGACTTTGAATTCCCTGGAACTAGAGTTATGGACAGATGTTAGATGCCATGTGGGTGTTGGGAACTGAACCTGGGTCTTCTTCAAGAGCAGCCAGTGCTCCTAACTGCTGAGCTATCTCTCTAGCCTTGTGATTTCTTTTAGGGCTATTTCAGAATAACCCCAGCAAGTCTTTGTAGGTATATAACAATACCCACATATTTTGTTGTTATTGAGATAGAGTGTCATGTGTCCCAGGCTGACCTCAAACTCTCTGTGTAGCCAAAGATGACTTTGAACTTCTGATCTTCCTGCTTCTACCACCTGACTGCTGGGATTATAGGTGTGCACTGTTACATTTGGTTTTAGGCTGTGCTGGGCTTTGTGCATGCTAGACAAGACTCTACTGAGCTACATCCCTAACCCTTTTGGCTATAAAGTTATGGAACTCTCTCTAAGATGGGATCTTATATGAAACACTCATATGCTGTTGAGTCTTAGATCTGTCTGTATTTTTATTTCATCTTAGAAGCAGTAATAGTTAGCTTTAATCATCAGTGAACACTTAGAATCACCTGGGAAGAATCCTAATGAGCAATCATATACATTAGGTTGGCCTGTCAACATGTCTTTGCAGGATTTTCTTAAGTTAATTGATGCAGGAAGACCCAGCCCACTGTGGGCGGCACCATTTCCTAGGTAGGGGCTCCTAAACTGTTAGAGGAGAGACGGAGCCGAGCACAAGCAAGAAAGGATACATATATTCTCTCTGTTCTTGACTGTGGGTGTGATGTGACCAGCTGTCTTGAGCTTCTGACACTGTGACTCCTCTACAGTGATGAACTATAACTTGGAATTGTGAGCTAAAATAAACCCTTTCTCCCTAAGTTGCCTTTTTGTCAGGGTGTTTTAGCACAGCAACAGAAATGAAATAGGAAGCCCTTTGATTCTGTTCGAGCTTGTCTAGAGCACTGTACAAAGACCAACAACCCAGACTTCAGCACTGGCAATGCCACAAAATGCACCGTTTTCTCCAGTGTTAGTAGAATGAAGAACTCTTTCGAATGGAGGGAGCTGAAAGGACCAGTGAGTTCTCAGGCTCATGTATGTCTGAAAGGCTTAAGATTGGCAGTGTGCCATGACTTCCAAAAACCAACCACTGGTCTTTCATAATTCTTAATGAACATAAAAATTTACATTTGAGATGCGAGATGACACCTATTTGTAGGAAATGCTTCATTTCTTTGAATGCTGTAAAAATGTAATGCAAAAGCCGGGCGTGGTGGTGCACGCATTTAATCCCAGCACTCGGGAGGCAGAGACAGGTAGATCTCTGTGAGTTCAAGGCCAGCCTGGTCTACATAGTGAGTTCCAGGACAGCTGGGGCTACAGGGAGACCCTGTCTCAAAAAGACCAAAAAATAATAAATAAATAAATGTAAAAGAAGGAAAAAGAGAAAAAGAAAAAATGTAATGCAAAAAACTTGCACCTTTGAAACAGGTTGGTCAAGTTTGGTCTTATCTGGCAGTTTGTCTCAGCCTGCTGAGTTGGCAGAGGCCCACTGTTTCCCATCCAGGCTGCACATATATTGCAAACATTGTTTTTCATAGTCTCTCAGTGGCAAGGAGAAATTTGGTCTTGGTTTCTTAATTCCCTTTAGGCACAGTCAATCTCTCGTGCATGTGTTCATGTGCCTGTGTCATAGAGGCCAGAGGTCGGTTGATGCTGCATGTCTTCCTCAATTTCTGCTTATCTTATTTTATTTGAGAGGCAGAGAGAATCCAGCTAGCAAAGGGGGACCCTCCTCAAAGGGGTGGGCAGAACCTTCGGAAGAATGTGGTTGATGCTCCAGGGAGGTTAGGGAGGGAAAGACCCTATCTGATTGATGAGGATGTGAAGAGGGCTCTAAGGAGGCAGCAGGCTTTGGTCCAGGGATGATAGGGGAGAGCAGACCCTAGCTCTGTTCCCTCTGTGCTACACCAATTGGCATTTTCCTTTTTCTTGGGCCTGTATAAGAACTTTAGATTTCTGCAGTTTATGTTATTTAGACTTGTTAAAAAGTCTTAATCCTGTGTTTGATCAACTTGATTAGTTGTTCTATCTCCAAGAAGCACCTTAGATTTATTTGCTTGGCGTGGTTCCTTTGTGTGTCTCAGGTTAACAGAACTGTGGTCAGCCCTCTAGAAGAGTCACTTCTGTGAACTGGAGCACAGTCTCTTGTCCTCTTTATGAAAAAAATTATTACACTTTATTTATTGTGTGAGGGAGGGCTGTGTGTGTGTGTGTGTGTGTGTGTGTGTGTGTATGCATGCATGTCACAACTTAAGAGGGGAGGTCAGAGGACAATTTATGGGAGTTAAGTTTCTCTCTCTACCATATGGGCCCTAGGAATTGAATCAGGTTGTTGGGCTTGGTGGCATACCTATAGTGGAGTGCAGTGTGAGCAGCCTCGGCTCTCCCCAGCTCTGCAGCTCTGGGCATTATTCAACCCTCAGCCTTCACTCAGAGGAAAAGAGGCAGCTTCTCAGGTCCCTTCCAGATGTGAGTTTCTGACCACAGTCTCAGTCCATATTGATGTCTATAACAAAATACCCAAGACTGGGTAGCTTATAAGCAACCAACATTTGCTGCTTATGGTCCTGGAGTCTGAGAAGTTCCAGGTCAAGGTGCTACTGTGTTGTCTGGTGAGACTCTTCATCCATGGCTCCTTCTCTTCATGTCCTCACATGGCACAGTGTCAAGGAGATTCCCGTAGCTCTCCTTTATAAGGGTGCTAATCCCAACCATGAAAGTGGAAGCCCCCTGAAGCTCCCAAAGGCCTTACTTCATCCCACAGTAGAGACTAGATTCTTTCATATTACAGGAATCACACATGGGAGGATCTAATTGTTTGCCTCTAACATTTTCAAAGCAAATGACTCAGCATCTGAATTGTTCTTTTAAGGAATCTTGGCTTTTGTTTTGCTTTATGACAGGGTCTCATGTAGCCCAGGTAGGCCTAGAGTTAAGGATGACCTTCAACTCCTGATCTTCCTGCCTCCACCTCTCCAGGGTTAAGGTTATAGGTGTACCCTAGTACACCCAGTTTACCTAGTACTTAGGGATCAAACCCAGGGCTTCATGTATGCTAGCCTAGTGCTCTATCAACTGAACCACATTCCAGCCCTGGGAATCTTGGGTTTTCGTTATCACTCTCATGCAAATCTCCAATCATTGACCCATGTGATACCTGATTCGGTTGGAGTTAGGTGGAATCTACTCTGATTGATTGATTGATTGATTGATTGATTGATTGATTGATTTTATGTGTATTAGTGTTATGCCTATGTGTAAGTACACTCCTGTCATGCAGTGCCCACAGAAGCCAGAAGAGGGCACTACATCCCTGGAATCCAAGTTGCAGGATAGTATGTGGGTGCTGGGAACTGAACCTGTCAGAAGAGCAGCAGTGCTCCTAATCAATGAGCCATCTTTCCTATCTTACTCCAATTTCTTCTTTCAGGAAAGCTGTCCAGGTACCCCAGGAATGCCAGAACTCTGAGTGAGACTGGCTGAGAGCTGACCTCGTCTACCTTGTCCAACCCAGGATCAAGATGCTGAGCCTGAAGCTCCCTAGGCTGTTCCGCATAGACCAGGTACCCCAGGTATGTGTTGTTCCACTGCTGAGCTCCAGGGTTCAATGCAGATTGACCTTTGCAGCAGGGGTGTTTAGGCTGCTTTTTTTTTTAGTCTTTTTGAGGCAGGGTCTCCCTGTAGCCCCAGCTGGCTTGGAACTCACAGAGATCTGCTTGCCTCTGCCTCCTGAATGCTGGGATTAAAGGCATGTGCCATGGCTCCTGGCTCTAGGTTGCTTTTCATAGGCTGCTTGTCTTCAAGGTGCCCCTCCCTGGCCCTCCTGCAGAAATTAGCACCTCCTACCCCGCCCATGCACCAGGTCTGAAAAGTGTAGCCCTTCCATGAGACATCTGTGTTCCATCCCAAAGCAAAGTCATTATTGAGGCTACAGATTCAGGCTAGTGAGGGGAAGCAGCAGCAGCTGCCAAGTAGGAAAAGGCTGTTTAGGACCTAGAATGGAGCTTCAACATGGGCCAGGGTGCAGACACCCAGCGTGGTGCTGTACGCTGTACGGGTGTTTATCACTTCTCCTTTTCTTACTCTCTCCCCACCCCCTCCGAGTTTTTTAGACAATCTGGCCTGAAACTCATGATCCTCCTGCCTCAGCCTCCTACCACCATGCCCAGCTTCATCCTCCTCTTACAGGAGGTCCAGGCCAGGCCTGGAGTGAGGCCATCAGAGAAGGCTGCTGAGTGACTCCTTGTGCTTCCTTCCCCTGGATTCCAGGGGTTGAGAAGCCATCTCTACATACATGAGGCTCGTAGCCCCTTAAGCCTAAAGGGACATTTTGGCTGTGTGCTCTGACAAACTGTTGTACATCCACCTTCCCTTGCAAAGAGAGTACAGGACTACGCCAAAGAAAGTACAGGACTACAGTGTCTAATTTCCTTCCTTTGGGACCGAAGAAGGGTTAATGTTATTTCAGGGTGAGAAGTTTCATCTGGAGACAAGATCCCTTTCTTACTTAGCTGATTACCACACACTGATGTCTTATACCGAAGAAACAATTCCTAACCAAGCTCAGCATCAGCAATGGAAAGTTAAGGAGTAGATCTGCCAGGCTCTGACCTGAAAATTTAAAGCTTGGTGATGCAGGAAGATGGCTCTGGGCAGAGCCATGGATAATACAGAGCTGTGGATAGGATGAGATGAGGAAGACAGCTCCAAGGGAGGCCGCGGCCCATGATCCTGTTGAGCAGGATCCTGCCTCTGTTCATAGGGCCATCCTCTCCCCTCCCTGCCCACAGAGCCTTAGCAGGTGTGACTAATGGGAACTGTGTGGGTCTGGATTTATTCATTCATGAAATTTTTTATTGACTGTTTCCTGTGCAAGATATTTCTCTACAGGATTCAGAGAAGAGTTTGGGGCAAACCCTGTCCTTAGTGGGCTCCTCTGCAGCTCAGGAGGGTCTCAGAACACATAGGATTCTCTGTAAAGTGTCTTAGAAGAGAGATAGGTTACTTCTGTCATGGAGGAAGAGATCAGGAAGAGATAATTTGAGTTTCAGAGCCTGGGGGATGACTTAGCTGGTAAAGTGCTGGCCATGCAAACATGAGAAACAGGGCCCAAATAAAAAAGCAGGGAGTGCTTGTGAGCCCAACACTGGGGAGGGAGAGACAGATGGATCCCTGGGGCTCACTGGCCAGTCACCGTAGCCTAATCTAAGCCCTAGGTCAGTGAGAGACTGTTTCTCAAAAAACAAAGTGGTTGGCACCTGAGGAGGAACGGCACTAGAGGTTATCCTCCTGCCTCTGCACACATGTGCATATACATGTGTACACACACACACACACACACACACACACAGAGGAGTTTCAGAGTAGACAAGATTTGGGAGGCAGGGAGAGGTTCTGATTCTTAGCAGAAAGACCAGCATGGGCCAAAAAGTGGGAACCATGCCGCAGGTTGGGACTCCTGTGGTGGAAACTATGGATCCGCCCGAGTTGTTTTCTTGGGTGTTTTGGTTGGGGTTGGGTACAGAGTGTGTCCTCAGAGAAGAAGTGAAGGACGGAGAATTACATAAGGGAACCTGCCACATTCTGAATGTTCGGAGACTCTGCATGTGGCCTGGAGAGGTGGGGGTGACAGGTGCATGCCCTCTCTGTCCGTGTTGGTTATTTGTCTCAATGTAATGACCAAAATACCTGAGAGAACAACCTAAAGGGAGAAAAGGTTTATTTGGTTTCAAGGTTTCAGGGAGTTCTTGGACAGAACATTAGAGCAGTGGGAAGGTATGAAGGAAGAGGTTGTGTGCCTCAAAGGTCAGGAGGCAGTGAGCAGAGCATGCTGGAGGGCCCAGGCAAGACACAGCCTCAGAGCACTCAGAGGCCTACTTCCTCCTGCCAGGTCCTACCTCCTAAAGTTTCCTCCCACTAGCTGGGGACAAAGTTTTCAACACATGGGTCTGTGGAGGACACTTCATTGTCTAACCATAACATCTTGCAGGTCTTCATAAATGATGGGGTGACAATGTCTTTTGTAGTGGAGTGACATTAGTAGGAAGCAGAGAAGCCACATCACATTTTATCTTTACCATTTGCTCTAAAACTTTCCCAGGCTCCAACATCTACTACAGAGCCTTCCAATACCATGCCCAGGGCCCAGAAGCTGCAGAGAAAATAGTGCCTCTGCTGGCCAAGAGGAGAGTTTCACTCGGGATCAAGGACAGGAGAGTGGAGTAGAGGTGCAATTAAAGCAGATTCCAGTGCATTAAGGATCAGATGCACAATTTTGTGTTTTGTTTATTTGAGATACAGTCTCCATATAGTACCAGCTGGCCTGGAATTCACTATATAGACCAGGCTGGCCTCAAGATCTGCCTGCCTCTGCCTCCTGAGTGCTGGTATTAAAGGCACGCACCACTATACCTGGTTGGAATGCACAATTTCTTATTCGTGTGTGCAGGTGCATGTATGCAGGTGCATGTGTGTGCAAATGCACAGTCGTGTGTGTGTGCGTGTGTGTGTGTGTGTGTGTGTGTGTGTGTGTATGTGTGTGTGTATGCATGCGGAGGCCACAGAACAACTTTGGGTGTCATTCTCAGAAATCCTATTCACCTTTTTTTGAGACTGGATTTCTCTCGTTGGCCTAGAGCTCACCAATTAGGCTAGACTGGGCTAGCCAGCCTCAGGGATCCATGTGTGAAATTGTTGAATTCTCCTACCATGCTGGCAGATTTGTAAACTATACCTTAGGGCTGATAAAATGGCTCAGTGAGTGAAGGAGCTTGCCGCTAAGTCTGACAACTTGAGTTTGATTCCCAGAACCCACATGGTGGAAGAGGAGGACTGACACCACAAAGTTGTTCTCTGACCTCCACACGTGCACTGTGTGCCTAACACACACACACACGCACACACACACAAAATAAATGTAATAACAACCCCCCCCACACGCACACATACACAATAAATAAATGTAATAAAAACAATTTAGACTATACCTGATATATGTTAGTTTTGAGCCTTACGAGCTTCCTGATGAAGTAAAGATTCTGTTTGCAGTGATGCTCTCCACAGGACTCTGTCTCAGATCCCACCAGGTGTTACCGCAGCAAGCGCAGCTTTGCCGTTTTTATTATCATTTGTTGGATTCCCCTCTTTCCTTCTTTTGATTTTTAATTCTTCCTTGCCATGCTTTTTTAACTGTGTCTTGTGTTAAACAGCTCGTGGCTGGCTTTTTAGTTGGGCAGTACATATCTTTTAACTAGTCTGCTTGTTGTTAATATTTGTAGTGACTATTGATATATTTGCATTTATTTCAACTGTTTTCTGTGAATTCATCTGTTTTCTCTGCTTGTACATTCCTTTCTTGCTTGTTTGGGGTTTTCTTTATTCTCTTTCCACTTTCGAGTCCCCCTCCACTTTTTTTATAGACATGTTCTGTAACAACTCTTTTAACGTGAATAGCTGTACTAGGCACAAAGGGGTAGGCAAGTTGAGGTTTAAATTACCCTGGATGGGCTGGAGATGTAGGTAGAGTGCTTCCCCAGCATGCAAAAGGTGCTGGGTTCAAGCCCCAGCATCACATGCCTGTAATCTCATCACTCAGGAGGTGGAGGCAAGAGAATCCGAAGTTCGTGGTCATCTTTGACTACATAGCAAATTTGAGGTCAACATGAGGACCCTTCTCCCTTCCAAAAACTTACCCCAGTTACTTCAGTGACTTGAAGTATCAAAGATTTCTTTCACTTCAACTGGGACTGCAGACTCAGGCAGCTGGAAGATCTATCATTTCCTACCTGTGCCATCTGGAACATGTGGCTTCTAAGGTCATCACAGAAGAGGAAGAAAGAAGAGAGTAACTTCTGCTGGGTTCCCCAGAAACAAACTCTGAGATAAAGATTTGCATGCAGGAAGTTAACTGGGGCGCCTTCTCAGGAACAACTCCTGTGAGGAAGTAAGGAGAACGGAATGGGATAGGACACATAGCATCAGAGACCCCACCCATCACACAAGGGCTCTGCAGTGGGGTTGGCTTTTCAGAGCTGTCCTGAATGAAAAAAGTAGGCTATGGCTTTGAATCCCTGGCTAGGTGGGTGTGGGCTCCTCCCAGAAAGCAATATGAGGCAAGTAGCATCCTTCAACCAAAAACAATTCCCTGGGGCCTCAAGCGGTAGGGAAAAGGTTCTCTCAGAGTTAAACTGTTGGGCCTGTGAGTTGGCTCAGCAGGAAAGCCCGACAGTCTGAGTTCTATCCCTGGGCCCCACTAGTTGTCTTTTGACTTCCATATAAGCACTGTAGCACATGTACATGTACTACACACACACACACAAGTTTTAAAATGTAAAAAAAACAAAACAAACAAACAAAAAAAAAATCCACACAAAAACATACTGCATTGTAATTCCAAGACTGCTTTGAACTGTCTGGCCTAGAAGTAGCATTACCTGGAAATCATCATGTGACTCCAACAGACCTTCAGACAAGTCTAAGAGCTGTGAGAAGAGGGGCGGACATGGGACTGTTGGTAATCACCTATTTCCACTGTCCTAATTTCTTGGACCTGAAGAAAGAAACTTTCAACAGA